GCCTGAAATTTTTTTTAACGTATTTAGTACAGGGTCTACAGGGTCTCACTAAACAGTTAAGACTTGTAGTGATACTCCTATCTTCAGCCTCCCACACACTGGGATTCTAGGTGTACGCCACCACACTCAGTCTCAATCACTGTCTCAGTGTGCCCTGGGGGCAGGGCTGGCACTGCACGCTGGGTATGAGGCTAAGTCCCTGCACATGGTTGTGACATGCATGCCACAGATTCAGCAGCACCAATGTAGATCACTGTGAGCTGGAGGCCAGTCTGAGCCACAGAGTACAGTCATGTCCCAAAACCCCCAAACAGAAACCCCGAGATACACTGTAAATATATAATCCTATGGAAAAACATAATACTATGTCCTTAACCTAAAATACTGTGTAACAAGAATGTTTTTGTATTTGTGATTCAACACAGAGATTTCACATGGAGCTACAATTGCAGCCTTGTTTTTTGAGACAGTATCTTATGTAGTTCAAACTGGCCTCAAATATGCTAGAATCTTTTTGCCTTAGGCTTCCAAATGCTGGGATTATAGCCATGTGTTACCATGCCTGGACCCACCCCTTTTTAGAGACAGACTAGTTAAATTCTCGGGCTAGGCTTGAACTCATAATCCTGCCTCAATTTTTGAGTGTAGGATTATATGCATGTGTCCTTTCTCACTATGTTGCCCAGCCTAGTCTCAAACTCACAAGCTTGCCTCAGCCTTCTAAGTTGTGTGCCACCACACTCAATTCTCATTATTTCTGAAAACAGAGAGATGGTGAAAATATCCACAAATAAAATCTATATTTAAAATGCAAAAAAACATCTAGGTGTGGTGGCATACCCCTGTAATCATAGCACTTACGAGACTGAGGCAGGAGGATTGCCACAAGTTGGCAGCCAACCTGGGCTACATAGCTACTGTCTCAAAAAAAAAAAAAAAAAAAAGCAAAGAAACTATTTCTGGAAAAAAGCCTGAAACTTAAAAAAGGGAAAAAAATCTCTATGCCATTAGCACTAAGTTATACACCCCAAAATTGGATAAAATGGTACATTTTGTTATGTACATTTGCAAAAATAAAAAGTTTAAAAATTGAGCAGAAAGATGACAACTGACAAAATACCTTAGAGATAGTAGTGGGAATAAAGACTAGAGTATCACCAACTCAACTACTACAAAATAAGCCACTTTGTAAGTATTTTGGAAGATCATTTATAGCATAAGTTAGTCTGGAAAATTGAAACTAATTGACTTAACTTGATTATAAATTACAAATTAGAACATGTGCCTACTGAAACTGGTTTTCATTGTTTCAAAGCACATTTGGAAAGCTCTGACTTGATTGATTTTGTTCTTTTGAGTCAGGGTCCTGCTAAGTATAGATCAGGGTAGACTTGAACTCACTATGTAGCCCAGACCAGCCTGAAACTTAGGGTGATCCTACTGTATTAGCCTCCCCAGTGCTGGGTTTACAGCATAGCAGCACTACATTCAGTTAAGTTTTGATTTTAGAGTAAAAAAGCAAAAACACTCGTGACTGAGTCAAACAACTTTAGAGTTCCCTTACCTTCATGGTTATTAAAATCATAAAGGGGGCTTTTGCTAGCTTTTAAAGTTTAAAACATTAGTAAAGTACAGAATGAGACTTTAACTGTGCCACAGGAACAAGTGAAAGACATATTCAATAAAGTTCTCAGTCTGCAAGCCAGTCAGGCTTCCATGCAATAAGCAAAGTAATGCTTTGAGTTGTATGGTACAATGTTCAGCTTTTATACAAAGTTATTTATTAGAAATAATTCACAAGGCCTTTAACAATACAAATTTTATTAAAAAAATAACATCAAAACTGTTCAGTAAATCTATATTCAATGTAACCAAAATAAACAAACACCAAATTAAAAAAAATATACATCTATATATATGGGCAAGAAACAAGTGCAGTTTTTGGTCCCAATATTTTGAATATATTATCTTTATCCAAAGGAATTACATTAATGGCTAAGAAGATATTATTTACTAGGTGAAAAAAAGGTAACTTTAAGACTTTATGTTAAGGTCTGTAAAAGGTATTTCTGCCAATTCTTTATGTCAATCAAACCACAATCCCTCAGATGTTAATGATAGTTCCAACAGAGACAGAACAGATAATGTTTAATAATCTGAACAAGTACTAAATTAAGAAACTACCAGTAGGTAGCTACATGTTTATGTATAATTTTAAGGAAATTTCTTATAGTTCAACAAAAACAAAACATATAAAACAAAAGTTTTAAAGAGAACAGTACAAAAATAGACAACAAAACAGACATCCATAAATTTGATGAAGAACATAAAACCAATCTACCAGAACTTAATGGAAATTTTTTAAAAATTAAAAAAATCTATTAGTATTATTGAAAACTCCTATTCTTAATACTGAATAAAACTTTCAGTGACAAACAAGCGCAGGAACCAGGATTCGATCCCTGCCACAACATGATGCGTCGGCCCTGCCCCCAGGCAAACTGAGCCAGCCACCTTGAGACCAGGCATGGTGGTGCAAGCCTGTAATCCCAGCGCTGGGGAGGCTGAAAACAGGAGGATCACTATGAGTCTGAGTTGCATAGTGAGACCCTGTATCAAATACATAAAAAAATACATATACGAAAAACTTACTTTGGAACTGTAGTTTTTAAAAGTTTGTTTTTCCAAGAACATGAGAGTAGGGCTGGCAAGATAGCTCAGTGAACTAAGCACCTGCTTAGGCAAGTGCAGGGGCTGGGTTTGATCCCTGGCACCACATACAGCGCCAGCCCCGCCCCCAGGCATGCAACCAAGCCTGGGTGTGGTGGCTTGCGCCTGTAATCCCTGCACTGCGAAGGCTGAAAACAGGAGGATCACTACAAGTTCAAGCTGAGTAGTGAGACCCTGCACAAAATACAAAGAAGAAAAAAAAATGCAAAAAACCAAACAAAACAAAACACCCTAAGAACATGAAAGTAATCTTGGTATTCTACATTGCCAGAATTTTTATGCTTTTTAGACTGCATGCATACTAGGGGGAGATTAAAGGGCAGCAACCAAAATGACTAAGCTTCAACTTTGTTGTTGAAGTACTGATCTGATGGGCTTTTCTTGGTAAGAATCAACCCATAGCTTAAGAACCAAAAGCCCCCGAAAGAAGTTGTGCTCAATTTGGTGGGCTTTGAGGTCATTTTTGGCCAAATCAGCATCAGTCTTAAGGGAGGGCGGCCAGTCAGATAGGAAGGGGCCCTCCCCAAGACCTGATTTCTTAAGGCCACAAACTAGAAGAGGTCTCACAGTCAAATAATTCACATTCCTTGGAAAGAGAGTACAGGCATCAGTTGTGTCCATCGAAGGGGGACACTGTCCAGGAGTACACTGGACATTTTTTGAAATTTCTGTGTTGCTTCTGCATCTGAAAAATACGAAAAATAGAACAATGACAGACAAGGAATGATGGAAAAAACAGCTATCTGACCTATAAGACTTATAAGAAATTAAGAAAGCAAACAAAACAGACAATAACAGATGAACAGCCATATCATCTGGCATGTAATATTCTAAAGGCAAGGGAGTACAGCAGAGAAAAATTATTTTAAGCAAAGTAAGAAAAGACCATAGCAACAAAAGATATTTTTGGAGAAAGCCAACTGGAGGAAAAAAAAATCATGTTAAGATATGTTAACCTGACACAAAGATAAGGTGGAATAGGAATTTTGTGCCATCTGAAAGCTGAAAAGAGCTGAATGAGAGCTAGTGTCATGAACTTTGTTAACTGCCTTCATGTGAGAAAACACTTCAGAACTTTGAACTTAGGAAATTATCTTTGTATAAGAAAATACTTCAGAACTTTGAACTTAGGAAATTCCAACTTGTCTTGCACCAGGTTGCACGAGCTCCATAGAGCAGGAATGTATTTCAACAAGCAGCTTTAAAAACAAAAACAAAAACAAAAACACTTTAATATTTTTCATTTCTACTAATGATACATTAAAACACAACAGCGCTAAAATCCACCAAAGTAAAATGCACTAAATGAAAAACTTACTCAGAGAAGTGGGTTCAGAAGTTGAGGTACTTTCGGAAACTGTAATCAGAAGAAGGGTTTTACATTTAAAACAGCATATATAAAGAGACTAATGATTTAATACATAAGAGCTTATACTATAGCTGATAAAAGTTACTGGAATAAATTTCAAATTCAGAGTAACATAAACATATACACCTACCATTCTCTATTATAACTTGGCAAGTATGAGTTTTACGTTGACTTAAGTGTTTAGCCATGAGGTCTAAGCCAGAAGAATCAGTTACAAAATCACACTTAAGGCACACCAAAGTAATGCCCCTGTGAAAAAAAGAAGATAGTGAGAAGGTCCTTATATTGTGTGGAAATCCATACATAAGTCCAGTAATTATAATTTTATGTAATAACCTCAATTTTAGTTTCATGTGCCACGACTATCAATTTTGTTCTACAAACCTGATGTATCTAAAATGGTTCTCTAGAAAATGACATAGTCAGACTAAGTCTAAGTCATGCTAACATTTACTGCTTTTTAAATTAGCCCCTTTCAACTTGTTGCTAAAAGCTTGGCATTCAAAGACTTAAACACAGCCTTGGCTCAACTAACAACTTGAATAACTTGTTTAAATCCCAATCTTTACATTTTTTTTTGCCTATTTGCAATCTAACATTTGGGCCACGGAGATGGCTCAGTAGAATAAGTGCTTGCCTGGCAAGCACAAGGGCCTGAGTTCAAGCCCCGGTTCTGGGGAAAAAAAAAAAAGAAAAAGAAAAAGAAAAGAATCTAATATTCATCCAAATACAGAAATATAAATTTGCTGAGGACATTCTCTCTTCTTTTTTTTTTTGTATCTAGGGAAGGGTCTACAGGGTGTTTAGGGTCCAACTACTAGATCAGACTCGTAGTGATCCACCTGTTTACAACCTCCCAAGAGCTGGGATTACAGGCGTGCACCACCATGCTCAGTCTCAATTGCTGTCTCAGAGCACCCCAGGGGCGGGGCTGGCACAGCATGGCAGGCTGGGAATTGAATCCCTGGTCCCTTTGCCTGCTTGCAGGCACTTTAATCCGTTGAGCTATTTAACTGGCCCTATCCGAGGACCTTATTTTAACACTGTTCTACTAGGTATTATGGATAGAACAGCAAACAAAAAAGGTACATGTAGCCTATAGTCTAGATCTTATTTAAGTCAGGACAAAATCAACTGATAAAAAGTGTATCAGTTAAGTACCTTAAAATAAAACATCTTACTTGTACAGGAATAAAAACCTGTAATATACCTTTGACTGACTTTTCTTCTGTAGCTGTAGTCTTATAGCCTGTTTTGTATTTACACCAAGCTATTATTCAAAAGGACATCAAAACTTATCTTCAGAACACAAACTGGGCGTTTTCCTCTCAAAAAAATCATGCCTACTGTCTGGTCTCTCTTTCCTTCTCTCTTTTTGAGAAAAGAGACAAAGTATCACCATGTAGTTCAAGCTAGGCTTAAACTCACCATATAGCCCAGGCTGGCCTCAAAATCATGACAATCCTACCTCAGTCTTCCAAGTATTGGGACTGTAGGTGTGCATTACCACGCCTGGTCATGCCAGTGATTTCAGATACATATCATCTGATCTAAACTTAACATCTAAAGTAGATGCTAGGGGCTGGTGAGATGGCTCGGTGGTCTAAAGCACCTACTTAGAACAAGCTTAGCAAAGCACAGGGACCATGGTTCAATCCCCCAGCACCACATGCCAGCCAGCCCCACCCCCTGGTGGGCTGAGCTGGGGACACACACACACACACAAATAAAATATTTAAAAAAAAATAAAAATAAAGTAGATGCTATACTTGCCACTTTTGTATAGAGGACACAGGCAGATTAGTAACCTACCAAGGCAGCAATGGGTTTTAAACTGAACCTTCTGATTCCAAAGCCAGGGTTCTTAAACATAACTGATGTGTCTTTTACCACCTTAACCCAGGTCATTATTAATTAGTTTTAATATTATAATAGCCTTAAACAGTCTTTGCCTCATGTAGCTACAACTCACTTTGCACACTTTTTTTTGTTTGTGAAAGAGCACATTTTATTGGGAAGCAGAGAGCAAGTAGCACAGTGACCACAGACAAAGGCCGTCCAGTAGGCACCCTATATGTCATATTAGAAAAGACATGCCATGCTACCGATAAAAATCAACTGTCTCCCTCAGGGCACCTTCCCAAATCTTATCCTTCCCAGGGGTTGAACAAAGTCCCAACCACTTGCCTGAAGGCAGCTGTGGTTCACTAGAGATACAGCCCCTCAGGGGTACCTTCCTGTTTCTTATAAAGAACATTTTCTTTAGATTTCTTTTTTTCTTATCTTACATAGAAGAACACTATTTTTATTTTTGCAAAATTTTATTGATAAACAGCAATGAGACAGTTTCAAATCAAAATGGAAGTACAGTTTCAACAAAAAATACACTGCATATATTCTTCTTAGTGGTTAATTGCTGTCCAAGATGCGGACTTGAGATCCTATTTACAAACACCATTAGAACAAATCATTCTATTCATTAAGAGAATGCAACTACATATCT